TTTCCCACTATAGAATATAAAATAAAAAAAGGTAATTGCAAATTGAGAATTTTAGTCTCACAATTCTACACACACACACACACACACACACACACACACACACTATCTTATTTGCTATCTTAGTGAAGACATTGCATAGACTTCCATTGATTTTATATCAGGTTAATGATATTTTCATTTCATTTCAACATGTGCAAAACACTAGATTTAAATAAAAGCATATTTTGGCTGAATAATGAGCCTTTTTAAATAAAAGACCAGTAAAATGTCCTCACTTGTGGGTTGTCATGATCTTTCACTATATAAGTGAAGACATTTGGTCCTCACAAGTATAGTTAAACCAGTACACACACACACACACACATACAGATTTAATTGATTTCTTTCCCCAAATGCACTGACTGTTCTAAAATATGAGACGTCAATGTTTAAGGAGTTTAGGACACAGAATAGGACACATGCTTATTCGATAACTTTATTCGATAGCTTTATTTTTTTACATTAACTGTTTTTTTTTTCCAAGGCATTGTTAGATGCCAGTGTTTCCTAACATATTTGCTATGCAAAGATTTGATTTCAAAAGCAGGAAATATCATAGCTATTAAACTATATATTGTTATGATTTGAAATCTGTATTTAATCTCAGAACGATCTCAAAGTAAAACGAGGTGCTAAAGTCTGATCTTTTGGTGGCTGTGCTTTAAAATTACATTTTTATAATCTTAATTCTAGTGGATTTTTGAGGATTTTGAAAGTCTGACAGTAATCAGTGTTGAGTGCTAATGTAAGATTAAGCCTGCCTGGTTTAAATGTTTGAGTTGAAAACATTAATTAGAAATTTTGAAAAGTAATCAAAAAGTGATCCAATGTAGTCAGTTACATTACTTTAATAAAGTAATTTAAATAGTTACACTACTTATTTAATTTTAAATGGGGTAACTTGTAATCTGTAACCTATTACATTTCCAAAGTAACCTTCCCAACACTGGTGATTATTAATGCAAGTAATTATTATTACTGACAAGTGGCACTAATCTGTGTGTGGAACAGGCTTGTGCAGAAAATTGAATAAACTATTAAAATGCCAGTTCAGTTCCTGAATTTGAGGTTAAAAAAAAAAGTTTTAATTTAGGATGCAATTCATATTTAGGGATGATGAAACACAATCTTAATGATATTTTACAGAATTGGCAAATTCATATGCATCTGTATGATCACCTTTGTACATTTTAATATGTAAGGTTTAGGGGTGGACCTTAATGCTTATTTCTTTTTTTTTTAATTGCATATTTCAAACATTTTTAGAACTAGGATATAAACTCAGAACTGCAAGACATAAAATCAGAATTCTGACAATTTTTCTCACAATTCTCACAATTTTTCTCAATTTCTCAAAAATCTTCTCACAAAAGTTTTTTTCCTATGAATTCTGAGTTTACATCTCACGATTCAGTTTATTTCCCACTATAGAATATAAAATAAAAAAAGGTAATTGCAAATTGAGAATTTTAGTCTCACAATTCTGTTTATACCTTGCAAATTTCAGTTTATATCTCACAATTTATATTCTCAGAATTGTGAGAGAAAAAGACAGAACTCTGAGATATAAACTCAAAATTGTGAGGGAAAAAAGTGCACCACGTGTGTTAAATTTCCTTGGATCACGATTCAAAAAATTCCTCTTCCTCTCATTCCAAAATCTTCCAAAACGCCCTGTACACTCTTAAAAATAAAGGTGCTTCACGATGCCATAGAAGAACCTTTTTGTCTAAATGGTTCCATAAAGAACCTTTAACATCTGAAGAACCTTCAGACCAAAAATGGTTCTTCTATGGCATCGCTGTGAAGAACCTTTTGAAGCACCGTTATTTTTAAGAGTGTAGGGTGTGGCCAATATACCATTCAAATCACATTTGTGAATGAAAAGGCGTATAATTTTTTTTACTTTTGCACAACCCTGTGGAAGTCTACACTACCTAAACTAATCCTAACCATGCAAACCCAGCCATACTGAAGAAGAAGACTGAAAGATTTAATGCTGAAATATTTTATATTTAAATATATATATATATATATATATATATATATACAAATGAAAAGAAAAACACAACAAAATTACAAAAATTTCAAGAGATTAAAATAATAATAATAATAATAAAAATTTGTATCTCAGTGACTTAAAAAAAACACCTTTGAACAACCCTCTTTTAAAGCTGGGACTATTACAATAACATAAAACATTTTGGCCACATACATAAGTGGGGTGTGAAAGATGTGTGCTTCCACAACCACAAATTAAGAATGAGCACCATCTAAGAATGAGATATACCATCTCAGCACTGCACACGGCTATATGATGAGTAGGACTGCATCCTATAGGTTAGGCGGTTTGCCATGTGAGTGCGGAAAACTTGGGTGTTGACTGCACAACCCTTCCCTCGAGCACACCCTGCCTAAGCCAGCCTGGCACTCCCAATCTCTCTGATTTCACCATGAGTCATACAGTTATTGTGCACAGATGACAAGCGTGTGCATGCAGCATCTACAGATACAGACCTGTGACTGTTTACCATCCAAACTCAGGGGAGTTTCCTGCACTACTGGTTTTCTGTGCTCTGTATTCTCATTCTCCATCCAAGAACCACCATTAGACAAAACTGACACACACACTACAAAAATATCCAAACATTCATAAAAGAAGATAAAAACTGTGTGTAAGAATTAAGACTTTTGGGGTAAGAGAATTAATTCTCTTACCCCATTGACAAAGTGCTGTTTTAAGTTTAAACCTCACTAAATAGTATTAGATTTAGCACAAAACAGTACTGGTAAGAAAAATAAAAATAAGATACATTTTCTTAAAATATAAGTCTTGTTGTCTTACATAAGTCTTACAAAAGTCTTGTTATCTTACATAAGTAGCTGTGCCTCGTTTTAAGAATTTGCTGATTTTTACAAAAACATCAATAAATAAATAAATAAAATAAAACTTGTTTTATTATTTTATTACACTGCATTTTTTTTCTCAAAGTTGTAAATAAAACAAACATTATTGGAGCACATTTTACAAGAAAAATACTATTTCAGTCTTTCTACTTTAAAAATTCACATTTAAATCAATTACTCTGTAATTAATTGTGAAACTTACTAGCAATTTCTGAGTGAAATTTTTATTTCTTTTTATTATTTAACAATGCCAGTAAGAAAAATAAATTTTAAAATGTATTTTGTATCTTACATAATTGTGCTTCTCAAATTAATGTATCTTCTTTTTTTTTTTTTTTCTTTTTTTTAGAATTTTAAGATTGATTTATTGAAATGCAAATAAAACATTTTTTTTTTTTTTAGTTAAATTTTAGTTAAATGAAATGATTATTGTAGTAATTATTTTATGAGAAAATACTATTTCTGTCTTGCTACTTTAAAATTTAGCATTCCATTTATGGTGCTCCTTGCTGTTTCTTTGTAATTAATTGTAAAATTTACTAAGAACTTCTGAGTGAAATTGTATTTCTACCCAGTTTTTTTTTTTTTCAGTGTACAAGATCCAATGTACTGTATGTAATCATAATTGAATCCATTTCTATGCTTTCACGTGAATGTTTCTAGAGAATGTTTGACCAAGTAAATGTCATGGAATCTCTCTCTTTCTTTTTTCCTCTCATTCAGTGTCTTTGTTCAGCAGTTGTGTCTGAGAAACAGATTTATGGGGGCTCAGACAGTGCAGGCTTCATCTGAATGGAGCTCACACTCAAGATATTCTCTAAATGTGTGCAAATGGCGAAGGCGTGCTATTGAGAGCCTCTCTAAAGGGCCTCTGTAACCACCCTTGAAATTTCTTAACCCTCATATTCTACCCCAAGGCCCTTTTAACATCTCTAAAACCATGTTTAATGCTGAAGTATACTTAACGACATGATGATTTACCTTTGTTTTATTGTATTTTTCAAACTGAGACAAAGTCAGCAAAGTGAACAATTAAGTGAGAGAAACTGAGTGGGAGTGAGTAAGTGAAAGAGATAGATTGACAGAAGGAAAGAATAAACAGCTAAAGTTGTCTCGCCCAATCTCTTTTTTTCCCCACTCTTTGCTTACAACTCCTTCAACGCAAGCAGCCGTACCATGACTTCACCTTTCCTTAAAACGCTATCTCTTTTCCACTGAAGTGCTTATAATAATTGCATATGAAACTCATAGGCAAAACTATTGATCAAAACTATTTTCAGAAATAATTTAGCGTACAATCACATGTCCATCACGAATAAAAGACAATAGAAAACTATATCTGCTGATTAGTTGCTTAGTTGGGCAAACCCTCAGACATGTTTCGGTTAAGCCGTTTTAAGTATGGAGAACTTTTAACAAGGTGTGAGCTTCTGAGGAATCAATTTATTCTAGATGGGATTAATAATAATTCTTAAGAAGAGCATCTAAAAAAATCATTGCTTCTGATCTGCTAATGAAGTTCATCTCTGGACCAGTGCAATAGCTTTTTGCCAAAACATGATTGCTCTAAGGTTTTTGTGTGATTTAAAAATGAATGATCTCAGAATGATTTTAGGATGCATTATTTCCATTAAACAAGCATAAAAGTGATGTTGTGAAAATAATACAACATCATACGGTCAGTGAGTAATAGAAGCATGCATGTGTCATGAACATACTGTATGCGCAAACTGTGACTTTAATAGCGATACTATGTGGTTTTTTAGTATGTCAAACAAACAAACAAACAAACAAACAAACAGAGTAGCTGTTCATTTTCAGTGTCATTTTTAATTTTCCCCATGAAAATGTAATTTTGGCCTTTTGACACAGACCTGTGTTTTCCAGCTTCTTGATTAACAAATGTTGCAAACAAAATGTTTATGTATAGTATATACTATGTGTTTCTACATTGATTTAGGGTTCCCTTTCATGGGAACTTCTCTCTCTCTCTCTCTCTCTCAAACTCACACACCCATCTTTGTGACGTTAGGTTCTCCTTTTAACCCGCAAGGTGAGGGTGTGGGAGAAACAATGAATAAGGAGTTTCTCTAAAGCGCTCCGAATCGATGTCATTGGCATTATCGCGCATCAAACAGCACCGGGACGCACTTCTGCCGTTGCGGGATCTATTAAAACTTTTCCATAAGCAGCTGGTGACAGCAGCGGATCTCAGGTGATCAGGAAATACCGTGTGTTCGTCCGGCCATGGCCCGGCGTATGTCGCCTGCTGTTGCTTTTCTGTTTTGTTTCGGATTATCGGTAAGTTTGTCGTGTTTTTAAATCTTTCTGTCAGTAGATACCCACCTACTCCATTTTAGTCTTTCTGTCTGGCAAAGTATCGTTCTGTCGTTACGTGTCTCTCATAAAACTGAATCTTCTTTTGTTTATTTGTTTGTTTATAGCACTCTCGATGTGTAAAGCAACAATATTTATGTTTATAACGTTAATGTGAAAAAGTAATGCATTGTCTTTAACCCTTAGAGCAACTTCCAACCCTTTACAGAAATTTACCACGGCAACTAAATGTAAAATAAAGGGCATGGTCAAATATTTTACACTATGCAACTTTTGTCCCTCTATTCAACTTTTCACAATAATTTCTGTCAAAGGTGATTTTAGTTTCCAAAGGTTCAGTTCGGGTTTTTAATAAGTGGTTAAATTCAAAGCAGTGAATAAAATGCAATGAAATTCTCAGTGCAGGTTGTCACTTTGATTTTAGGCATCAAATTAACACAACAATAAGTTTTAGTGGGTTAAAATAATTTACAGTGCTCTGATCAGGATTTTTGAGGGTTTTGATTTTGGGGGGAATTCCCCTCTTAGGTGTCGTTTGTGAGAGGGGAAGCAGCTTTCACACAGGAGTCCGCAACTGATCCGTTGCTGTTTACCACAAACACAACATTTATCCATTATTTTGATTTCAAATCCAAACATTGTCACTGAAAATGCTTTTTCAGCATTGCAATTCGTTTTTTACACAGTACAGTAATACAATCTTTCACAGACATGTTTAAACACAATAAATATAAGCAACACATTATTCAATGCTTTTTACTTTTGCATTTACTTATAGATTTATATGTTAAGTTGCTCAAGCAAGTGGCAAAACATTTAAACTACTTTTCTTACGTTATCACAAACTTACCACTGACAGAAATGGTCAGCTCTACTGCCTTTTCTTTCGCATTGAAATCTTTATTACAAGCAATCCTGCGGTACATAAAGAACTTTGTTTTCCTACCTCCACGATTATTTATTTATGTATTTAAACAAGAATACGTGTATTTATGCACACATTTATTTGTGTATTTATTTATTTATTGTTTTTGCAGGTTTCGTCTCCATAGTGCGCAGTGTGAACGCTTTATTAATCCGTTAACATGAGCGCGGAAAAAAATACGCACCATATACGCACTGCAAACGGAGTAATGTGAACCTGGCATTGTGTGTGTGCGCTGCGAGTGTGCGTGAGCGCACGGTCTTCAGGAGAGCGCGCGAGCGCTGAATGGTTAAACACTGGCAAGAATTAAAAAGTAACGCAATTTATAAACTTTAGTGACGATGTGACACTGCCTCGATTGTGCAAGTGACAATTCCTGTGTCAATTGTGCAGCGTGCAGCTCGCTTATAGACAGATGCGATGTGTGGTGATTTGAAGCCATTTGCGTATTTTGAGAAAGAGAGAGCGCGCGCGGTGATTCACTCACGCAGTTTGTGAAATTATGTCTCACACAAGGTTTTCAACTTACTTTATAAGTTATTTAATGAAGAAATATGAAGGTGAGTACGTCACCTTCAGCATTATAATTATTTTATGTCGTGCCAAACCTCTCATGGCAGCGTCATCAGCTTGAGATAGGTTTTTTGAGATCGGTCTTTTTAGAGACATAATCAATCAATCATCCCAACGTGATTATCGGCCGATAGTGATCGGTAGCCGATCAATCGGAGCACCCCTAATATTTATTATATTATATACTACAATGAAACCATGATACGAAATTAACCACCATTGCTAATGGTCAATAACTAGACAAATATTAAATAAAATCTTAAAGTAAAATCTTTTTTTTTTTACATCGGTATGGAGATACCCAACTGTCTTATTATAGGTTTACCATAATAACGGCACCATAGTAATTGTATTGTAGTATTTTGTTGGGAACTTCCAAGTTCCACTATTTAACGGTGTATTTTGTAAAGGGCATTTCAGTACAAGCTCTGTCTAGTATACAGACACACAAATTACAGCAGTCAAGCTGGATCTGCAAGTATAAGACTGTACAGCCTATTGTATTCACTTAGGAGTATTGAAATTCCCTCCCCCTGGCACCTTAATGATTTACATTTCTCAGTAATACTTACTCAAATTCTAATGAAGATGAGTTTGATTTACTGAACAACAGTTGAGTAAAATGGTTACTAAATGAGTGCAATCTACTAAATGAGTGAAAATCACTTCACCTGGTACTTGACACTGGAGAATCTCAGTGAAGGATGATTTTACTGCGTTTATCAGTATGTGCTAGGTAGATATGCAAAGAGCACAGTCTTGGTTGTTTTGGCTTTCGTTTTTAATATTTTGCATACCCATTATGCCCATACATGTCATACACTGTGTGTGTACGAGAGAGTGCTTTTGGTGTAAAACATCTCTCATTTGGGTTAAAATTACATTTTATTGCTGAGTTTTTAGCCTTTCATATTTCCATGTCACAAATTTAAAGGTTCTACTTATTCATATGACAATCATTAGGCCTTCAGTTTACATAAAACAACCTAATGCATGTACCAAACCTTATGTAATTACTACACAATATGTGATGTCTCCATGTATCACTATTAACACTTGTAAAAGTAACTATTGAAACTTTGTGCAGTACAATTCAGAAATGCACAGTTGAAGAAAGTAAAGAAAACCCCTTACTAAGACATTACATTTTATATTTGAGATAGTGCAGCGTTTTCTGCCACTGTGTGCATATGCTTTATCTTAGTTGTGTGTGGTCTGATTAAGGTGATCTCGACTTAAGTGGAATGCATTTCGCTTTTGCCAAGTATTTCTTCATCTTATCTTCCTTAATTAGACGTCTGCTGAAGTGAAATAAATGAATGACTCCTGTGCAGTGTTTACCCCCCCCCCCCCCCCCACCCGCCAATCGCCT